GACTGCAGCATAAATATCCTCGCATTTCTCTTTGACCAAAAGTCCTATAACTTGCAAAATATTCCCTCTCTAGAGCACTATATGATCCTTATTCCCAAAAATCTACAAGGAGTTAGACACATTATCCTGGTTCTTGTTCTCAAAACTATACAAGGGGATAGCACATAATCCCTAAACATGTTGAAGAGAAAATAGTTAGTTCAATCCTTCAAGCATCTCTGAGTAAAGGAAGAGATGACTATTTTTCGAGCCATGGGAGCACATAAAAGATCTGGAAAAAAAGTTCTTTTTGAGGTTTATGATCGTGAAATGTCCCTAAAGAGGTAACAAATTTTTTCTACCAACTACTACGATACAGAATTGCATATGTTGTGTAAATGTTTTCTGTTATTATAACAATTCCTTTAAAAAGAAGCAAAGCTGCAATGAGCAACTGCCATTGTCTTCAGGCCAGTGCATAATATTATATATTATGCATATAACATATATATAATACATCTTGGGCCACTGTTCATGAAGATTCTTGACTTCAAGTAATGGAAAGATAAGTCTCGTTATCTTATTGATGTTATTTACTGTTTCCATCCATCTTCAATAGTTACCCTGATGAGAGCTCTGGAATGGTAAAGAAATGCGTAAAAACATTCTGATAGTTAGCATCCATTTCAGTTGCCAGTAACTGGTGCAAGCATAAATTTGTGTATTAATCTAATTTTATGATACCTTATGTTTATAATGTGAAGTATTGATTTGTTGATCTTTTGAATGGAAGTCAACCCTTAACTTCAATCCTTTTGTAGGCTGGTTCCGGTGACTGCAGCTGTGGTGGGAGGACTGTGAAGGGATTGTCTGTAAAACCAATTCAAGGAGATGCAGTACTTTTCTGGAGCATGGTTGGTTTACACTACATTGCCTGAATTTATGCACAACTAGATATATGTTAATGCTGTGCTATCTTTTCCCTCCTTATATAATCTTCATTTTCCTGAATGTGTTAGCTTCTGTCTTTCCACATTAATTTGTTGTGTTAATAAGCAGTAAGCTTATCATGATTCATGTTTCTATAGAACAAAGGACTTCCACTTAAGTTCTTTTTTCTTCCTTTCGTTGATAGTGTTAGTTGCATTCTCAGAGGATTGTGAGAGTACGCCTCCTTCTGGTTATGACATAACTTTTTAAGTTTCTACTCTCTAAATTTACTTGTTCATATACATAAAAGTACGTAAGATAGTTCAGAATATATTATAGAATTATTTTTATTTGATTGTTTCAAAAGCAGAGAGGCACACGTTAGAATGCATGTTTTTATTAACGGTATACATGTAAAACTTATAGAAGTGTAGACATGGAAAATTAATTGATATTTTTTTTTCTGAAGTGAAGATTGATGTTATAATTTTTTAAATGCTTGTGTGGTACTTGGTCATTCAGGGACTAGATGGACAGTCAGATCCAAGTAGCCTTCATGGGGGATGTGAAGTCCTGGCAGGAGAGAAATGGTCAGCTACAAAATGGATGAGACAGAGAACAACCTCCTGATATATCATATATCCTTTTGCCTCATTTTATGATGTTATACATGTAGTTCAGAAAATACAAGACTTAGCTACGTTGCTGATTCTTTACCTACAAATATTAAGCATGATAAATTGTTCGTATGGTCTCATTACAGATAAATATATATATATAGATATAATCATTTTTTTTTCTTTTACTTCGTAATTTTCATCAGCTTTACATCTGAGTAAAAATAAATTAATAAAGGCGGAAAGTAAAAGTATGATTATGGACTATATAAAATATTTATATAATTCAAATGGTCTTCAGGTTCACCCTCTGTTGTGTTGAGCATCTCATTGTCTGAAAAACATGATGGGATGAAATAAGTTCACTTCTGCTCGGCATGAAACTTGTCAAAATTGATCTCAATGTCTCCATGTCAAGTTTGAACCACGTTTGAAAATGTGTTCAACAGTTTTGGATGCAACTCTTAGAAAGAGTGCAAACTCAATGTCTCCTCAGGTGCTGTGGAAAACAACAAGAGCGGAACCCAACTCGGACTCTTGGGACAACATACCATTGGTACCAACAAATATGAAGTACAATTATCCAACACATATTTCCTTCAAATATCAAACACATCGGTATGAGCACCGACATTTCCTTTTTCATTCCCTGTGATTTTCGTGATGTTAACCGTCTATTAAAGCATCTAAATGGTTCACATCTATGTTTTTTATTTTTTTGTTAATAAAATTTTTGATATGAAATTTTCTTACAGCAAAAAGATAACTTCTAGAATTAACCCAACAATATTTTCAATAAACTCAATATTAACTCTAGAGCAAAGTTCCATCAAAATCTCTTATAAAACTCTTTTTGTTTAATATCCAGAGCATAATAACCTCAATATAATCCGTCGAGGTTAAATTAGAACATATCAAATATAATAATATAAGTCATTAACTACATAGACACAACAATCAATGAAGAAATTTGTCACTGGTTAATTTGATTGTATAACGAAATTTGCATTTTTTATCTCCTTAAAGATGAATAAGTTGGCAAGATTGTTACATCATCAACAAGAAAATTCATTGATAGACATTGAAAACAATGACTATATATGTCACACGCCAAAATTCTATAATGAGGCACAAATCCTACTCATGTCATCTTTATACATGGCTCATAAATATGCATATATATAGTTCAAAA